TAACCTTCATGGTGAGGAAAGGAAGGTATTGCTTTGGGAGCCGAGCTTACTGAGTAGATCAGGTTTGTCCAACCCACAACCCAAAGGCAGCTCGTGGCCCAGGACGGCTTTGAATGCGGTCCAAAGTAAACTTCCTTAAAACATTATGAGATATGTTTTGCGACTTTTTTTTAAGCTCATCAGCTATCGTTAGTGTATTTTATGTGTAGTCCAAGACAATTCTTCCAGCATGGCCCAGGGAAACCAAGACTGGACACTCCTGGAGCAGGGTTTTCACAGCACAGAGGAGAGAGGGGCCAACACTGGTCTCTCAGCTGAGCACCGCCTCCCCCCGTCACCTGTGATCTCACCCAGTCACTTCTCCACACACAACAACAGTAAAACAGGAAGAATGCTGACACACTCATCATAGCAAAAATAGCACAATCCATGCACCTCTTCCTGCGTGCCGAGGCTGACTTCCAGCACAAACATAAAATCACCAGATCAAGTTTTTTCAGCCTCGCATCCATTATGAGCGCATTACAATCCTAATACTTCCCCGAATAGGCTAAAACCCATGCCCTTCAAAATACATAAACCTTCTTACAAATCCCTAAGACACTTATAAAAGGAGCAAGAAGAAGGGAACTCGTGAACACCTGAAGTCGTAGAAGCTTCGGCGTTGCCCAGCCACGCACTCTTTCTCCTGGGGCGGGGGCCAGTCCGCGGAGCCGTCCATCCCCTCCCTCACCTGCCGCAGCAGGAGATCCAGCTGCTCAAAAGTCACTGAGCAAATGTCCACCACAAAAGGGACACAGAGTCCAATGGACCACTCAGAACACGATGACCAAGCAAAGCTCTAAGAGGAAAGCGACAATCGAAAATGAATCTCCAAATGCAGCTGCTGGTCTGTTCCACAGGAGTCCCCAGCATGTGTGATGGAGCCGCCTTACATTATCACCTATCATCCCTCTCACCGCCCAGTCCAAAGGCATTCATGGGTGTCTAGCTCACACACTGTCAGCTTCCAATTTTCCCGCCCATTTCACTAGCCCCATCTCATTTGGCCATACCTAAAAAAGTAAAAGCAATTTTAACAATCTTTTCACTCTCAAAATGATGAATGCACATTCATGGATGGCAGTGAGGATCTCCATCCACTTGAAGTGGTACAATAGCAACTCTAACTAGACAATGAATTGTTAGATGCATAGAACACACACACTACCTTTCACAGTGAGAGAACAAGTCATCGGCAAAAATCTAGGAGAACTGTAGAACACCATCAATAAATTGGATCTAATTTACAGAACACTTCATCCACCAACAGCAAAATACATATACTTTTTTTTTTTTTTTATCTATCTTTTTTGTAATATATTAAATCATTTGAGGCATATAATTTGCGCTCCTAAGCAGGTGCTTTAATTAACCCACAAATTTTGGTGTGTTTCATTTATGTTCAAAAATATTTTCGAATTTCTCTGAAGAATTGTTCCTTTGGATTGACTCCATTGGATATTATTATGATTAGTTTTTTTCAAGATGCGAGTTTCGCCTGTTGTTGCGCGCAATGACATGAGTCTCGGCCTCACGCAACCTTCTTGTCTTACCTCCCGGTTCAAGGTGATTCTCGCCTCAGCCTCCTGGTAGCTGGGACCTCAAGACAGGTCCCGCCACCATGCCAGCACAATTTTTTGATTTTCAACCTAAGAACTGGGGTTTCTCTTGGTTGGGCCAGGCCGGTCTTGAACTCCTGGACTCAGGTGAT